TCCCCTATTTCAACTTAATTTAAGGAACATTTTCCATGGAAGTATAATTCTGATTTTTTGATATGTGTCTATGGAAACATATTTTTTTAATTTGGGGAGACTTTCTTAGCATTTGCTTTCCTAGAAATGAATGAATTTCTATAGGTAGTATGGAGCACACAGAATGTCTTTTTTCTAATTAGTAATATAAAATTGACTTATCTCCCCTATTTCAGCTTAATTTAAGGAACATTTTCCATGGAAGTATAATTCTGATTTTTTGATATGTGTCTATGGAAACATATTTTTTTAATTTGGGGAGACTTTCTTAGCATTTGCTTTCCTAGAAATGAATGAATTTCTATAGGTAGTATGGAGCACACAGAATGTCTTTTTTCTATTTTCCACATGGTTCTCATTTATGTATAAAGTGGAGGAAGATAGAACTCTTGCTTCCTTTTAGTTTTATTTAATATGCCATTTTCTAATTTTACTCAGTACCAGCACAGAGGTCATGCTACATAGCTGAAAGGGCCTAATAAACTATAAAGTGGAAACAGTTATTAAATGCTAATGTGTGCAGTTTCATTTTTGAACTCATTGCAATGTAGTTTGTATGTTCATTGTTGTATTACATTTAATATTATTTGAGGCCATTTTTCTTTTTTTCTGTTGGTCTTACTAAATCTTTATCAGATTGGTCTTTGCCTAATGTTTTTGCTCCTTGTCTTCTGTGGTCCTGTCCTCCTCAGCATATCTTCCCTAAGTGTTGCTTTCACACCTCTTCAGGTCCTATCTGGCTCCTCCCTCCACCTTCCCTTTCTGAAAGCTGTGATACCTTTTGTTAGTGTCTGCTTCTGTATTCTCAAATGCTGCTCTTCACACTTTCTTGCTCTGGTTTTCCTCAAATGCAGTGATCTACGTTGTATTTTACATAAGTTTGGCTGGCATTACTGCATTAATTACTTTTCTGGTGCTATGATAGAAACACTGACTAAAGCAACTTACAGAAGGAAGAGTTTATTTGTGTTTACAGTTCCAGTGGAATTACAGTCCATCGTGGTGGGGAGACATCGTGGCAGGAGTGGCTGAAGCAGGAGCAGAAAGCAGAGCACTCACGTCTTCAAGCGGACACAGGAAGCAAGAGAGCCGTTTGAGATCCCTCAAGGCTTATGAACTCTCTAAGCCTGCCCCTAGTGACTTGCTTCCTCCAGCATAGCCACACCTTCTAAGACCCCTCAAAACAGTGCCACCAACTTGGGACAAAATGTCCAAATACTCGGAGCCTATGGGGGGCATTCTCATTCAAACCACCACAGGTCCCAATAGTAGATTTTCTGGTGTCTTTCTTCCTTCTTGTTTGTGAATGTCCTTAACCAAGCTGTTACCATCTTTTTCTTTTTGGTGTGGAGACCTGGGAATGAACTGTTATCATCTATTTCTGTTACATTCTTCTCATTTCTTTAATGCTGGATGCTGTGACTTGTCTTTGATTTGAAAGTCAGCAGTAATTAACCTAAAATATAAAATACATGGAGGAGTTTTATGTGTGTAATTTTTTCATGTAAAGATTGAGGGGAAAGTTGAGTGTTCAGACAACACTCACTTTTGCACAAGAGTATCATTCATCATGTATTACCCGCACAGCTGCCTTGCCATAGCAAGTGATTAAGTGTTGCGGGTGTCCTGGGGCCCTCCGGGTGGGGGTAGAGTCAGCACGGAGTCATGACACAGAAACCGGGAGTCAGGGGAGAAGCAGGCAGTGCGGGCAGCTGCAGACTCGTTTATTGCTGATATGGGTCCCCCTTATATCCCACCTCCCGGTGTCCCATTGGCCCCAGTAGACTTTCTCGGATGGTGTCTGATCCTCATTGGCGCTCTCCATTGAGCCATCTTGCATTAGCTGTCTTCATGTCCTTTGACAGAATACAGGTTAAAGTCAGCCGGATGTTTTTGGCGCATTTGCAGCGCACATGCGCAGGTTGTTCAGGCCGCACTAACTCCTACAATTAAGAACTATTTTTTAATAAACTGCCAAATAACCAAGGAATGCCTTTCTTAGTTCTAGTTCTTGAAATGGGAAGATGAGTTTGAATGGACTTGATGTTTTTAGCTGTTTTCTTTTTCCTCTTTACTATAGTGTACAGTACCTATGGGTTATTATTGTTAAAGATTTCCTAATTGCTTTTTTTTAGGAATTTAACTTATGAAACTTTACCCTTTTCTCTGTAGGCTTTGGAAGGAAGGATGTTGTTGAACACTTGCTCCAGATGGGTGCCAACGTACATGCTCGTGATGATGGGGGTCTCATCCCACTTCATAATGCCTGTTCTTTCGGCCATGCTGAAGTTGTAAGTCTGTTACTGTGCCAAGGAGCAGATCCAAATGCCAGGGATAACTGGAACTATACACCTCTACATGAAGCTGCTATTAAAGGGAAAATTGATGTCTGTATTGGTAAGTATTTTGTGATGCTGTCTAAATTTGTAAAGCCAACCTGACAATTTTAACTTGTTTACTCTTGTTTTCTTTCCACTGCGGTGTAGTGTTGCCTCAGCATCAGTAAAGTTTATGGCTTCATCTCGTGGAATTCTTTTCCATCAAAAGGAAGTAGAGAGATGATAATCCAAAGTTGGTTTAGAATGAGATTCACATTAACTCTCACTGAGGCAAGTCAGTATCAGCAGTGTAAAACTCAGTTCTGATTAATTATTCTAATTGTATTTATTTAATTTATAGTCTCTTTTATTAAAAGACTTCATTTCTTTCTTGCATCAGTGGGAGCCATAAAAATACAGATTTTTACTAAATTGGATGACATATTTGAATACTGCAGAGAAAATAATCAAATACTGTGACAAATGTCTTTAATTTACTAAAATTGAATACCAGTCAGTTTTATTAGTACTGGAAAGCTTTGAGTGTAAGTTTCAAATCCAATACTTCAAAGCTTAATGTCGCAAGTGGAGTTATTAAGGCTTAGTTGAGCATCACCTCGTTATGCGAGGGAGGATAAATATTGCTAGAGCCAATGTCTTTCAATGCATTTATTTGGGGAATCATAAACAAATTTTACACATAACACAATGACAGATAAGACTACCAGTCCTAGGGCCAATGCCCGAGTGATGTCGTCTCAGTCGGATGTGGTGACGGTAGTCTCGGCTCAGCTTGGTTGTCTTGCTGTCGAGGGTCGAGTCAGGTCTGGATGTTCACGGCGTGAAGTTCCCCTTTTTTCTCACGGTCCAGAGACGGGATCAGTCAGAAGATTATGACTTGACGAACATATGTTTATCAGTTTCTTATGTCATTTGGCTAATCACACAATTACACTCAGGTTGCTAGGTTAGGGCTAAGGGCTACTAAATGATGCTCTTATCTTTAATGTACACAGTTTGGATATGTTTACATACTTTTGCTAGAGTTTTTTTTTGATTCTTAGTTTCTTTATTTTATTACATTCAATACAATTCTTAATTCTTAATTCCCTATTCTAATACATTCAGTACACTTAATATTTTAACATGTGCCATTGCTAACTCTAGAGAAAGCAATTTCAGATAAAATTAAATTTTCCAGCCATTTAAAGTAATTTCTAAATTATATTAATTTGTATTTAGTCATCATTTTTCAAATATATGTTTAGGTTTTGCTTTATTGCATTAGCATTTCTATTTTGAAATCTAAGATAAATAAGCTCCTAGAAGGTAAGTGTTGTGTCTCCTGAGTGTATCATCTGTTTCTTCATCTTCAAGATGGTAGATGCGTGTTTAGCCCATGGCAGATTGAATTGCCTTTCTGGATGACAGAAAGATAGTTTTCTTTGTGGATGTCAACATCTTAGTATAATGTTTACACTAAAGCTAAATTAGATATGCTGTTTTTAAGATGTGTCCTGGTGGTACCATCATTACCATCTTGATAGTGATTGAGACTGTTCCCATATGGCCTTTATTATAGTTTTCAGTCTATTTAAGTTTTCCTGAAGTTGTCACTTTTCCATCACATTCTCTGTTGTTATCCTTAGCCACTTTAGCATCCTTTGGCATGATCCTTTACTCTCCTGCTCTTTTAGTACCTTGACCTCTGTTATTTCCAGGTAATTCTGTCTTTTCCCCCAGATCTCTCACTAATACAGTCACATCCTAGGCCAAGTCATTTTGCACTCGATAAGCTAGAATTTGTAACATCCTTTCTCTGACGACTAACCTCTTAAGTTACTTGGATTCATATGTGATAACTATTACTGAACTTGATAATTATTCTTGCTTAACCTAGACTTTCATCTTCTCTGTTATCATGTCACCTGGCATCTTGTTGTTTTGTCCATTGGATTTCAGTTGCTATTAGTGGAACTTTATGCAATTTTTCACTTTCTAAAAATATCCTTTCTAGTCTCCAGTGTACTACTTTTCTGTGTGTACCTCTGAATTTTTCTGTCAGTACTTTGACTTTTATTGAAATTAATATTTACTTTTTCTTCCTTTTAATCCCTTTCCTCAAAGTGGAGAATAAAAATGGTTTTTAGATGTTGGGTCTCTTGAAAAATCTAGCTATAAGGCTTGAATCTTTAAAGAACAGTTTCCTGCAACCATCAGTTCCCACAGTCCTCAACAGGCTTTGCATACATTGCTGCCTTCTATTTAAGATCTTGTAGATTATTTAAGTCGGGAGCCAAGGTATCATTGAAACTAAAATATAAATATAGGTGAGATATAACAGGTATTGAAGTTATAACACAGCTATAGGAATCAAGATTCATTGTAGATCCTTCTATATACTTAACTTGTGAGAAGCTCTTATTAGGTAGTTTGAAACCTCTGATAGCTTCTGTGCCATGCTTTATGATTTCAGAAATATTCTTATGATGCACAACTGGAGAAAGCAACTGGAAACTTTTCTTTTTTCCTTTTTTGTCTGGTAGTTTTGAGGCTGGTGTACAAAGTGCATTTTGAAAAAGCTTTTGCCTAGTTGATTAAATGCTGTCCTGTTTATTTTAAATTAATCGTGTCCCTGTAGGTAAGTAGAATAGCAAACATATTTGAACTTACAAGGCTAGAGCCAAACCACAGGCTCTGGTTTTCTCTCCTTGCTTTACCCGTTTACCACAAGGAGACCAGGGACTACTTGCTTAACCTCATGTTTCATTATATGCAGAACGGAAGTAGTATTCCTAGTTCATTCTGTTCTTGACAGAATTAGACAATATACAGTACTTAGAGGGGTATCTGATATATTACACATTCAGTAAACATTAGTTTCTGTTATCGCTTACTATTATTATCATTGTTAAGATCTGAACTGGAATTATAACTTCGAAGAATTATAGCCTTGTTTCCTTTCTTTATTGATAGTTAAAAATGCCCGGTTAGCATTCCTTCAGCTCTCTGCTTCTTTCATAGTTGTTACTTAGCTGTCATAAAAGAGAAAGAAATATAGAATGAAGTTATTTTAAAAAGTCAACTTTAGAGCTACCATGTGACCAGGCCAGCACACCTGTGTCCCCTTGCCCAGTTCCAGAACCAGCCAAAGAGGGCTGGAGTCTCACCTGTTCTTTCCAAGCAGGCCTGCCATGTGACAGGAGCAAGTGCTAGGGTAAGAGTCCAATGGCCGCTGGGCCTGCGACCCTTTCCTTCTAGCCCCAAGACAGAAGGTGGAAGGACAAGAGGAGCGGGTGAACACCTAACCGCCCCCCAACACCTGGTCTGGGAGAAACCCTCCTGCTTAGCTGTGTTGTGATCAGATCCTTGATTCGGAGAGACATGAACCATAACACAGCCCATGGACTTGAGTGAGAGGATCCTATAAGAGGTCTTCCTGGGAGAATTGACTCGGACTCCTGTCCCTATGTGGTTGGTCAAGAGCAGGCAGGACTAGTCAGACACTTGTCCTGAGTGGTGGCCAGGCACATTTGCCCAAACTGGATTCGTCTTTCCCTGAACTTCCTCTGCTCTTTCCTCACTCCATGTGTGGCTCGCATCTTCTTGCCTCACCCTGGACCCGACCGAGGCTTCTGGTGGTGCACAGTCCACCAGGTGGCAAGCAGACCGCAGGAATGCAACCTAGTGGGAAAAGGGTGCGTCCACCCATAGACCCTGCTAAGCAATGTAGAGGGCTCAAAAGAAAGGCATAACAATTGGTAACAATTAAGTCTTTCAAGTCAACTTTATTAGCCCAGCATGGTGGCTCAAACTTCCCAGCACTTAGGAAGCAGAGGCAGATGGATCTCTGTGAGTTCAAGGCCAGCCTGACATACTTAGCGAGTTCCAGATCAGGTGGGACTACAGGGGAACCCTGTCTCAAAAAAGTCCCCCAATCCCCCCCAAAAAGGTCAGCTTTAAGTGCTTGTAAAATTAACTATATAAGGTAGAGGTAATGGGGTTTGCTAGCATGTTTATAACTTTCTTATATATAACAACTCTAATTTGCTTCAGAAATAAGCATATTTTCTATTTGAAAACGTGTTCATTTCTCCAGAAAATATGGAGGACATAGTCTCCAGAAAATTAAAATAAATATGGTTTTTCCTGAACATATTCCATATGAGTACAGAGACTGGTTTCATTCCTGACTAGGAATGATTTCTGTCAGTCAGGATTTCCATTCTGTAATACAGAATTGTGACTACAGAGTTGTGGAGATATTAAAAAATCATTTATACCAACATTTTGGTCATAATGTTCTTACTGAAGAACAATTATGCTTCCTTCTATACTGCACAAGTTTTTGTTTTCAAAGATTGGTGCTTGGGGCTAGAGAGATGGCTCAGCAGTTAAGAGCATTGGCTGCTCTTACAGAGGACCTGGGTTTGATTCCCAGCATCCACAAGGTGGCTAACAATTGTCTGTAACTCCAATTCCAGGGAATTTGACACCTTCTTCTGACCTTTGTGGGCATTGCATGACACAGTTACACCTATCTACATGCAGATAATGCATTCATGCACATAAAATAAAAATAATAGATTAAAAAAATTTAAAACAATATTGGTGCTAAACCTTCCTATTATTGCCCTTGGAAGTAAGCATTGGTCTTTTATCACTTGCTTGCTATTATTTCCATATGTATCACAATGTTATCTGCACTTATATTCTGGGCCTCTCTTTAAAGGCTTGAATTGATGTCATTAGAGAGACTGTTAAGATCATTGGCTGCTCTTGCAGAGAACCTGGGCTCCCTTCCCAGTACCATCCACATGGTGGCTCACAGCCATCCTTAACTTCAGGTCCAGGGGATCTGACGCCCTCTTCTGGCCTCTGTGGGAGTTGCACAACACAGATGCACTTATATACATGTAGGCAAAAACACTCATACATATAAAATAAACATTATTTAAAATTTATAGAGGCTTGAATTGAATGACTCGGGAAAGACAGCTTTCTGGTTCCATAGGAGATAGTTCTTTCTTTAAAAAATTAGTGTGTGGACTACCATCCTCAGGCCTCTTGGGTAAGTCT